GCCACAAATAGATTTTCCAAAAGGCTTTGACTTCGTTGAATAAACATGAGCACTGCACGTGTCTAAGTCGAAACCTGGTGCGGGTGTATTTATATCAATGTATTTCTGAAGGAAACGACTGTCTTCAGAAAATTATGGATGTCATTTTCATTTAATCTTGCCTGTAATGCCTGAGCACCATTTGTGAGCAGAGCGCTGCTTTGTGTACAGCGTTACCGGGGAAACCTGATCTCTTGCGCTCTACAAGCACCTCCTGCTGGCAGAAAATTAATTTGCATATATATGCCGCCACAAATAGAGTGCACGTTCTGGGGGAAACACTGCATATTATTCAATATTTTAATTTGAATGTCGGATTGAAATGAACGCTGTTATTAGGGTAGTTAATTGTTAGCATAAACGCGGCTAATGCTAATATAATGAGCATATAAATGAAGTTTTTTTATGAACTATTTAATGCTCCTATAACTTTTATTAGGGTAAAAAAAAAAAACAGGAGAACATGATGATATTTACTATTTTTACCCATCAGAGGCTTTTAAATGAATTGTGAATCTAAAATATGTGTGTTAGAGAATGTACAAATGGTTAACATTGTTTGTGTCATATCAGTCAGAAGTTCCGGGCTTTTTAAATTTTTTTTAGCTAACTTAGTTGTTATTCTTGGCTGAATAGCCCTAGGTTTTCAAAAACCCTTTAAAATGAAATATGTACACATTTTGGATTAAATGAAAGTAGTCCATTTTTAATTATGTTTTTGTGTTTTGCTTTGGTACCGAAATTGGTACAGAGAACCGTAGATTTTCACTGGTATTGGTACCAAACAATGAAATTTTGGTACTGTGACAACACTACAGTACAGTAATACAATCTTTCACAGACATGTTTAAACTCAATAAATATAAGCAACACAATTTTCAATGTATTTTAATTTTGCATTTACTTCTAGATTTATATATTAAGTTGCTCAAGCAAGTGGCAAAACATTTAAACTACTTTTCTACGTTATCACAAACTTACCATTGACAGAAATAGTCAACTCTACTGCCTTTCCTTTTGCATTTAAATCTTTATTACAAGCAATCCTGCGGTTCATAAAGAACTTTTTTTCCTACCTCCACGAGTGCTATCTATTATTGCCTTGTTCATCTAAAAGTGCTCTTTCCCTTTAAACCTAGCCAAAAAGCCATGTGTTGACTGAAACACAGTAGACTTTAATTATATGCATTTATGGTGTAATTACTACATTTTCGTGTCAATCCATGTTCATATTTACAGCAAACAATGCGCTGTCACTTTAATTCAGCGCTTGCAGCGCAACAATAGACTCGGTGCGGAAACGATCTCTGCACTGCTGCAGACACACAGCTCCTGAACGCACTGCCGGCCGCAGCTGTGTGCAGTGAACTCTTTAATCCGTTAACATGAGCGCGGAAAAAATACACACCACGTATGAACTTGGCATTATGTGTGCGCGCTGCGAGTGGGCATGAGCGCACGGTCTCCAGGAGAGCGTGCGAGCGCTGAATGGTTAAACACTGGCAAGAATTAAAAAGTAATGCAATTTATAAACTTTAGTGACGATGGGACACTGCCTCGATTGTGCAAGTGACAATTCCTGTCAATTGTGCAGCTCACTTATAGACAGACGCGATGTGGTGATTTGAAGCATTTTGCGTATTTTGAGAGAGAAAGAGAGAGCGCGCGCGGGAGTGGTGATTCACTCACGCTGTTTGTGAAATTACGTCTCACACAAGGTTTTCAATTTACTTTATAAGTTATTTAATGAAGAAATATGAAGGTGAGTACCTCACCTTCAGCATTATAATTATTTCACCCGCGCCGGACAGAGACTGAGATAGTGCCCTGCATGTCGTGCCAAACCTCTCACGGCAGCGTCATCGGCTTGAGATCGGTTTTTGGAGATCGGCCTTTTTAGAGACCGCCATTCAATCATCCCAAAGCGATTATCGGCCGATAGTGATCAGTAGCTGATCAATTGGAGCACCCCTATTTACAATAATTACCCTCAAGCAAGTATGAAAACAACAGAATCAAAAGAAGAAAAGAAAAAAAAAAATTTTTAATTAAGAAATCCTGGCCTGGACATGACCTGGAAAAAGAGGATATATGGTCACCTTAGGAATAAAACAGTATTTGCATCAGTAAAGTAGTATTTGGCTGGTCATGTGATCTCAACATGGCAGCCCTCATTAAGCAACCTCATCCATGTAAAATAAAACTTTTATTTTAAAAAATTTTAAACTTTTAAAAGCTTTTTTGGGGCCGATGATATGACCGGAGACATACAATTAGTTGCTTTAGGGATAAACCTTTAGGGAAAAACACTGAGAGGACCAATAATTCCTTCAAATATTCAACACTCCACTGATTCAGCTGAAAATTAACATGTTAATTATAGGAATCCAGACTCATTTTTTGTCCAATTATGTTTTTTTGTTTTTTTTTTAAGACTAGAGGCAGATGAAAAACATACAAGTGTTGAATAAAAAAAAAAAA